GTCAGGTCCGTCAAACTAGCATGCTACTCACTGCGCCGCCTAGGTGTTTCAAAGGGGGCACGATGGTGCGTAGTGGTCCCTGTCCCGCTCGATGCCTCATCGGAAACAACTTGGTAGGTACTGTCTCCTCTCCCCGCCAGGCCCAGCTAGCTCTAGCTAGAACGCCACCGTGCACTTCACCGCCGTTGCATCTCAACGGGGACACTTTGGAGAACAGCGGTCCCCCTTCCCCGCTAGGACCATATCCCTCCCCTTTGCCCTCGGCGCACTCTGTCTGGTTCGTATTGTTTTGGTTCCCCTCCTGCCCCCTGTCAGTTTCCTTCCCTCCTTCCTCAAGGTGGCCCCTGTCTGATTATCTTTCTCTCTCACCCACAGCCGCTCATCCCCACTCTAATTGCGACTTGCGACGCCTACTTTTCCCCCAGGGTCGACTTGCACCTATACCCCGAAGAGCTTTCCAATCGGGCCAGGTATGTATCACCCGAGGGAGGTCGACACCAGCCCCCGACAACAATCTGAGTGCGCATTCGGGGTACGCAGGTCGACCCGTGTTCAGGCGGCTGAGACCAGCAATCACGCACCACTCACTGCACCGCCACGGTGTTTCAAAAAGGGCACGTTGGCGCGTAGTGGTCTCTCGCCCGCCCGAACGGTTTGGTGAGTAGTGCCTCCCCTCCCCGCCAGTCCTAGTTAGGTTTGGCCAGCACGCCAAGCTGCACTGCACCGCCGTTGCGTCTCAATTGAGGCAGTGTCTCTTCTTTCCCTCTTTAAGGCGGTTCCAGGTCTGCTCTTTTTCGTCCCCACGCCCTCCCGCGTACCCCATACGTTTAACTTCGACAGACCAACCCAGATTCCCCCTAGGATCGCCTTGCCCCTATACCCTATATCCCTAAGAACTCTCGAAAGCAGGCCAAAGCATGGCCCTCCCGAGAAAAGTTGGCACCAGCCTGTGACCCGAGTCTGAACTCACACAGGAGGGTTCGCAGGTTGCCCAATACTCGACTACTTAAGACAAGCACACCACACACTGCACCACCACGGCGTTCCAACGGAGACGTGCTGGCGCATAGTCTTTGCCACGCTCGGCGCACCTCGCTACTCTTATGTTTCATCGGAAACAATGTGGTGAGCAGAATCTCCTCTCCCCGCCCTGAAATGTTAGCTTTGGCAAGCAAGCCAAGCTGCATTGCACAACCACAGCGTCTCAATGGAAACACGCTGAAAAACAGTGGCCACATCATCACCAAGACCCCAAAAACAGCAGGAGGTCTGGCATCAATCGCCCCACTACGCCGTCGTCGTCATGACCAGCATTCTGTGCCAGGACTGTGGGCGAACGGGCTCTGCATAGCACATTCAATTAACACGCGGTCCGTTGTTCTGGCTGGACCGATTCAACAGGCACGGCCGGAGCCCGGGCATCAGCAGCGCCGCATCCAATATGCGTCTGGCCGAAGCGCCGCTGCCAGAACACCCATCTGGTCGCAGTCTGCCGTTTCGGCTAGGCCACTTCAACAGATTTGGCACGAGACACTGGCTCATACTCACCAGTACTCTATGCCAGGACTGCGGACGAAGTGCATTGGCGTAGTATGCCCAATTGGCCCGCGGTCCGCTGTTTCGGCTGGACCGATCCAACAAGCAGGGCACGAGGTCTGGCACCAATCGTCGCCCTACGCCGTGACCAACACCACCAGCACTCTATGCCAGGACAGTGGGCCAAGGGCCTCTGCATTGCATAACCAGCTAGCCCGCGATCCGTTGTTTTGGCTGGAACAATCCAACAAGTACGGCAGGAGTTCTGGCATCGGACAAACAGAGAAAAAAGAGACAGGCAGGCAGACTGAAACCGTACGCCCATAAGCGTTCCACAGGCGATGCATGATTAGTGGATTCACATACGTTGGACAGTGGAGGACGCTCGAAGGGAGGAAGGGACGCACGACGAGCGGGGACGCGAGGCGAGGCACTGCGAGCGAGAGCGGAACGAACGACAAGGAGGGGCGACCAAAGAAAAATGCGAGAGCGGTGAGGAATGCGCGCGCTCTGCTGCCGGCCGGGTAGGGCGCTCGTGCCAGGATCACGTGCTCTCTCCACAAATGGTCGTCTTGAATGAGATGCTCCCATCGGTGATTTTCCCCGGCTGTTCGGACGACGCGCGGATGTAGATAGTTAGCCAATTCTGGTCTCAGCCGCCCACACTTACGAACGCATCGTTCTGTCAGGTGCTGCCACGTGCCGGGAATGAAGACTGAATCCCTCCGTGGGTCGCATATCTGTCCAAATACATGGCGCAAGAAACTTTTCGAGAACGGGGCCTAGCCCGTTCGTTGACGGACTTCGTCGTTTGACACACGCGAAACCATTGGGTGTTTGACGCATTCTGAGCACCCTGTAATGCGTTCCACCAAATCGGCGCCTCTCCGACGCGGTGAGGCACACCGTGCTCAGGCTGTACCACTTTCGCCATGAACAGCTACAGTTTACGGGCTTGGCCAATGCCTGTATGGCTCCACAGCGCCCGGAGATTCGAGCATGATGAGAAAGAAAACCCAAATCGTTTGAAGGTTTTTTTCCGCCCGCCCTGCCATCGTACCTAATGGTAGTGCCGAGGAAAGACACCATCTCCGCGGCATCGATGACGTCGCCCGCTGCTCGCCGCCGCATCGGGTGCGCAGGAGTTGTAGCTTCCCCCAGCGCAGCTCTAGCCCGACACAACCAACCGCCACCTCCACTCCTCCCTCCCCCTCCTCCTCCTCCTCCTCCTCCTCCTCCTCCTCCTCCTCCTGCTCCTGCTCCGCCTCCTCCTCCTCCTCCTCCTCCTCCTCCTCCTCCTCCTCCTCTCCTCCTCCTCCTCCTCCTCCTCCGCCTCCTCCTCCTCCTCCTCCTCCTCCTCCTCCTCCTCCTCCTCCCTCCTCCTCCCTCCTCCTCCTCCTCCTCCTCCTCCCCTCCTCCTCCTCCGCCTCCGCCTCCTCCTCCGCCTTCCTCCGCCTCCCCTCCTCCTCCTCCTCCTCCTCCCTCCTCCTCCTCCTCCTCCTCCTCCTCCTCCGCCTCCTCCCCTCCTCCTCCTCCTCCTCCTCCTCCTCCTCCTCCTCCTCCTCCTCCTCCTCTCCTCCTCCTCCTCCTCCTCCTCCTCCTCCTCCTCCTCCTCCTCCTCCTCTCCTCCTCCTCCTCCCTCCTCCTCCTCCTCCTCCTCCTCCCCTCCTCCTCTCCTCCTCCTCCTCCTCCTCCTCCTCCTCCTCCTCCTCCTCCTCCTCCTCCCTCCTCCTCCTCCTCCCTCCTCCTCCTCTCTCCTCCGCCTCCTCCTCCTCCTCCTCCTCCTCCTCCTCCTCCTCCTCCTCCTCCTCCTCCTCCTCCTCCTCCTCCTCCTCCTCCTCCTCCTCCTCCTCCTCCTCCTCCTCCTCCTCCTCCTCCTCCTCCTCCTCCTCCTCCTCCTCCTCCTCCTCCTCCTCCTCCTCCTCTCCCTCCTCCTCCCTCCTCCTCCTCCTCCTCTCCGTCTCGTCCGCCGCCCTTCCTCCCCAACCACCTCCTCTCTCCTCCTCCTCCTCCTCCTCCTCCTCCTCTCCTCCTCCTCCTCATCATCATCATCATCATCATCATCATCATCATCATCATCATCATCATCATCATCATCATCATCATCATCATCCTCATCCTCATCCTCCTCATCCTCCTCTTCCTCACGTGCCCTTGCTCGTGCCGCTTCACGATGCCGCCTTGCTGCTCGCGCCGTCGGATCTCGAGGGGGGACGCCAGAGGCATCCGCACACCTACTATCGGCTCGGGCCTGTCCCTTAAGCAGAGACCGAGCGTCCAGGCATTCCCGTTGGCCGGCCACGAGATGCTCTTGGAACCCGAAAGCGTTCTAAGAACAAAACAAAAACAACGTTCTTAGAGTATAAACCCGAGGTGTTAGAAAGACAGTCCCAGCCAGAAATGTTCTAAGAACAGTTCGTGGAAACCACAAAAGGTTCATAGAACATTGTTTGGTAGCTCTATGGGCACGCCAGGACGCTTCGCCACTGCTTGAGTCCCCCCCCCCTTATAGGCGGATGTTGGACGAAGGAGAAAAGACACCCCAGAAATACTCCAAAAAATGGAAAAATGGTCAAACAATCGTCCCCAGACTATCTCTTGACTATTTTTGAACACTCCTCCTGCGGGGGGACACGCCCGACTTAAACCTACGACCATCGGGGCAGGATCGGTTAGCGTCGAATCGGAACATCGCATCGGATGGGGACGTGCGTCGGACCAGGCCGCTTCGACACGGCGTCGGCGAATGTGAAACGGAATCTGGGCCATCTTAACTGCTTCATCAGCCCTCCTCCTCCAGGCCTCCTCCTCCAGGCCTCCTCCTCCTCCTCCTCCTCCTCCTCCTCCTCCTCCTCCTCGTACTCCTGTGGGGGAGGGGTGAGGAGAGGTGCACCTTTTGGGTCCTGCAGCCCCTAAAAGGACCCCCGTGAGGCCCAGGAAGGGCACGATGGGGTGTGCCCGAAGGGGCTTCGGACCTGCCGCCCCAGGATGCACAGCAAGGCCATACAAGCATCGGTCGCATCGGATCGTCGGAACATCGGAACCGAATCGGATTGGGCTGGCCAGAATCGACATCGAATTGGATCGGTCGGATCAGAATGGAACCTACGGGGGGACGTAAGGCTCGGGTTTGGGGGACTCGGGCTTGCTGGACGAAGGCCCTCAAAAACATGGCGGGACCTGGTCCGAAGTCTGGCGCGGGCTCCCGCGGCAAACACTCCACGAAAACGGGACCGTCCAATCCCACGACGGGACCGTCAAGATCCGCAGCAGGCCCGAGTTCAAGCAGACTCGCGTCTCACGCTTGCCCGATCCGCAGATCACCACCACCACCACCACCGCCACCGTGCCCAGCCAGGGCCAGCCTGGGCCCCGACACGGCGTAGCAGCACGCCTCTCGGCCGAGGACAGGAGGCTCTGAACGCTGTGCGACCTCCTGGGGCTCGGGATAGCTCTGCCCAAGCATTGGTGGTGGGCGTATACCGGTGCCTTCTGCGAAGTTGGACGGAGGAGGAGGGGCGGGCGACGAAACATCGGGGGCCTCACGCAAGAGGACACGACCGCCTCACGCTGCACGGCGGGCGATGAGGCCTGTAATCTGATTGGCCGTCACCCCTCCCACTTTACCCCTCCCCTAGGGTCCGAAATCCCCTTCGAATTGAAGGAGACGGGGGCGGGGATGAGCTGCCCAACGCACCTCTGGGGCAGTAGGGCCTCAAAACCAACCCTCCGTGGCAGCCAACATGTCCAAGTGGCTCTCAAAGCCACCTGGACATTTTGACGGTCACTGGTCATCGCCCACCCCCTTGAGAGACCACGCTGGCAACGTTTGAGACGCGCTGACGGGCGACGCGGCTTCATTCATGAAATGAAACCAGAGAAAACCCCAATTGTTTAAAAGACTATAGGGCTATGGGGCTATAGGGCTGCAGGGCTATGGGGCAAGAAAGCTATGGGGCTATGGGGCTATAGGGTTATACGGCTTTAGGGCAATTAGGCCATAGGGCTGTAGAGCTATACGGCTATAGGGCTATAGGGCTATAGGGCTATAAGGCTATGAGGCTATAGGGCTATTAGGGCTATAGGGCTATAGGGCGATTGGGCTATGCGGGGTATAGGGCTGTGAGGAAGACGAACCGACAACGAGGATCCGACGTCGACGTCGTCGTCGTCGTCGGCGGCGGCGGCGGCGGCGGCGACGGCGGCGGCGACTTCGACGGCAGCGGCGGCGGCATCCACCCCGGCGGCCTCCGGCGGAGGGACCCCCGCGCCGCTGGCTCCGGGCCGCGGCGGCGGCGGGGCGCTGGGGGAGGCGGGGGCCTGCTAGGGGAGCCTCGAAAGGACGCTCGCGCCCAGCCGTTTCGCGTGAGGGCGCTCCCCGGCTCCTCCTCCTCCTCCTCCTCCTCCTCCTCCTCCTCCTCCTCCTCCTCCTCCTCCTCCTCCTCCTCCTCTCCTCCTCCTCCTCCTCCTCCTCCTCCTCCTCCTCCTCCTCTCCTCCTCCTCCTCCCTCCTCCTCCTCCTCCTCCTCCTCCTCCTCCTCCTCCTCCTCCTCCTCCTCCTCCTCCTCCTCCCCGCGCACACACACACACACGGCTCGCTGCCCTGTGCAGATCCTGGGCAGCCTCCTCTTGGGCGCCGAAGCGTGCCCATGACGCGCACCATCTGCTGGACTGGCGGGGAGGAGGAGCGAGGAGGAGGAGGGGCGAGGAGGAGGAGGAGGAGGAGGAGGAGGGAGAGGAGCGCGAGCGAAGAGAAGCCCGAAGACGACTAGGGGCGTCGTCAAGCGCACGGCGGGGGAGCGCTTAGGATACCCCGCGGGCGGCCTCGCCAGCCTCCGCGGGCTCGCGCAGCTCCTCGTACTCGGCCTGAGCGGAGGGGGGGTCGTCGTCGTCGTCGTCGTCGTCGTCGTCGTCGTCGTCGTCGCCGTCGTCGTCGTCGTCGTCGTCGTCGTCGTCGTCGTCGTCGTCGTCGTCGTCGTCGTCGTCGTCGTCGTCGTCGTCGTCGTCGTCGTCGTCGTCGTCGTCGTCGTCGTCGTCGTCGTCGTCGTCGTCGTCGTCGTCCGTCGTCGTCGTCGTCGTCGTCGTCGTCGTCGTCGTCGTCGTCGTCGTCGTCGTCGTCGTCGTCGTCGACGTCGTCGCCCGTCGTCGTCCGTCGTCGCCGTCGTCGTTGTCGTCGTCGTCGTCGTCGTCGTCCGTCGTCGGTCGCCGTCGTCGTCGTCGTCCGTCGTCGTCGTCGTCGACGTCCCTTGTCGCCCGTCGTCGTCCGTCGTCGCCGTCGTCGTCGTCGTCGTCGTCCGTCGACGTCGTCGTCCGTCGTCGTCGTCCGTCGTCGCCGTCGGCCGTCGCCCGTTGTCGTCCACGTCGTCGATCGTCGTCGTCGTCGGTCGTCGTCGGTCCTCGTCGGTCCTCGTCGGTCCTGGTCGGTCGTCGTCGTCGTCGCCGTCGTCGTCTTCGTCGTCGTCGTCAGAGTCGCCGTCGATCGTCGCCGCCGTCGCCCGTCGTCGTCGTCGTCGTTTGTCGTCGGTCGTCGTCGGCGCCGTCGTCACCGTCGGTCGTCGACGGTCGTCGTCGTCGTCGTCGCCGTCGTTGTCGACGGTCGTCGTCGGTCGTCGTCGGTCGTCGTCGGTCGTCGGTGGTCGTCGTCGGTTGTCGTCGGCCGCCGTCGTCGTCGTCGCCGCCACCGCCGCCGTCGCCGTCTCCGTCGCCGTCGCCGTCGCCGTCGCCGTCGCCGTCGCCATCGCCATTTTCGTCGCCGTCGCCGTCGCCATCGCCGTCGCCGCAGCCGCCGCCGTCGTCACCAAAACTCCGGCTTCAGCTTCCGTTTCAGTTTCCGCGTGGGCTTCGGGGGGGGTCAGAGTCGGCGTCGATCGTCGCCTGCGTCGTCGTCGTCGTCGTCATCGTCCGTCGTCTTCCGCCGTCGTCGTCGGGGGGGGTCGTCCTCGTCGCACCCTCAGATCAGGGCGGCGCGACCAAAAAATTGCGCGACGGTCAGCTTTTTTCCAAATTTGCCTGCCCCTTGGAAGCCGCTGCCTAGGCCCAGGGACCGTCGAAGACGACTCATCCTTCTCATCCTTCCCTTCGCAGTCGGAGAGGGAGGGAGGGAGGGAGGGAGGGAGGAGGGGCGAGGGGGAGGAGGGAGGAGAGAGGAGGGAGGGAGGGGAGGAGGGGAAAGGAGGAAGGCGGGAAAGGAGGAGGCAAGAGGAGAAGGAGAAGGGAGGACGGATGAAAGAGGGAGTCGTAAGGGAGAATGAGAAGCGGGAGGAGGAAGGGAGTCCAAGGAGGAAGCAGCAAGAAATAAGGAAGGAGGTGGTGGGGAGTGGGAAAGAGGAAGGAGCAGGGAGGGAGGGAGGAAGGAGGAAAGGAGATGGAGGAAGGGTAGATGGAGGAAGAAGGAAGGAGGAAGGATGCAGGTGAAATGGGAGAATGAAGGAGGCCCGTCAGGGCTGCCTTGCAGGCTTCCTGCAGGGGCTCCCTGCACACGAGATCCAGACCCCCTCCCCAGCACCGGGGCCCGTCGTCCTGAGATCTGGTCTTGGTCTGTCTGACGGCACCAGAGGGCCCAGTGAGGGCCCCCAAGAGGCAGAGAGCGGCCAAAAGCCTTCCGCCGCCATCCCATCGCGACCCAGCCACCCTGGCGTCTCGAAAACATCGAGACAAAGGCTCTTCACCATTTCCGGCATTCAGGGGTCCTCCACGGGCCTCCGGACCGTACCGTCAAGAAACGACTCGCGACGAGAAACCGGTCCCAGGGAAGTGGTCGAGAGATCGGGGGCCCGTGTCCCGGAAAAAAAACGAGGCGCCAGATGTCTGGGGCTTACTATGTTGTTCCCATCGCACTGAAGGACCACGCACCAGAAGCAATTTCGAGCAACCAGAGAAGCATCGAAACAGTGTCTACCCGACACGACAGCGAAGCGTCGAACGAGCATCGCCTCCCAGGGCCAGACGCGTGAAAACCCTCCAGCTTCGATACTGTCTCGGTGCTCGATACTCTCGCTGGCGATCAAGGCTAACGCAGACGCCAGGGAGGCCGTCGACCGACGGCGGCCCCCGACGGCAGCGAATCAGCTCACACGTAGGCGCGCCACTATTGCAGACGTACTGCAGAGGATTTTTGCGTGGATTTCTGTCCATGCAAAACCCCGAAAAAGCGGGTGAAAAACGAAATGAATTTCGCACGGATTCTGGTTTTAGTTTTCATTCCTGGCCAAAAAAAATCCGCACGAAATTCACCTCGAAATCCGAAACCAAATTCTCCAGGACACTCGGGGCCCATCCGATCGTTTTCCGAACGAAATCCGCTTTGCGATGTGGGTTCCAGTTCGGCGATGACGGGCGTCATGGGGGGGGGGAGGGCGGGGGGGGTATGACGTGACGCCCCCCCCCCCGCCGTGTGGCTCCAGCACCACAACCGCGCCCGCGCGCACGACGCGACGAGTGACGAACGACGACGACAACGACGACGACGCGAGCAGCATGTAGGTGGCGATCTGCCCCAATGCGCCTGTGTACACCACAACGCTCGCGTGCACCACAACGCGTGTGTACACCACAGCGCCTGCGTACACCGTAACAACCGTGTGCACCGCAGGGCCTGTGTGCACCACAGTGCTTGCGTACACTACAGCGCCGGTGTACATGTGTACACCGCAGTAACCATGTGCAACACAGTGCCTCTGTACACCACAATGCTTGCGTGCACCGCGGCGCCTGTGCACACCACAGCGCTTGTCTACACCACAGCATCCGCGTGCAACACAGCGCTGGTGTACACCACAGTGCCTGCGTGCATAGGACAGGTAGAAAAAGCATGTACGTGAGGATCTACTGCGGACAACTAAACGCCACGCCGGGACAGTGATGATAATCGAATGCGACGTTTTTCCCTCATATTCCTCCTCCTCCACCTCCACCTCCTCCTCCTCCTCCTCAACCTCCTCCTCCGCCTCCTCCTTACCCCCTGTGTCCACTTGGTTCCCGGACGGCCAGTTTAGCTGGAGCCTCCCCTCGATGCGCGGGTGGCGCCTCCCGGGCCAGGAGGCGCCAGGGAAGCCGGCCACGTGTGAGCTTAGGGGGCTCCCAACTGGGGTGGTGGCCACACCGTGTGGTGAGTCGGTGGGGATTCGGGGCCACCGCACGGTTTTAGGACCTGGGTCGTTCTCCGAGGACGTCTCGGGCGATTGGGGCATCCGAGGTCCCAAAGCCGTGCGTTGACGGACCGTGCGGTGAGGTTTTGGGGGATTTCAAGGTCACCGCACGGTCTGTCACCGCACCGTTTCGGGACTTCAACAAAGTGTGAGCTGATTCGCTGCCGTCGGGGGCCGCCGTCGGTCGACGGCCTCCCTGGCCTCCCGAGACTGATGATGTTCCTACCTACTTTAGAGCCCGTTTCTTTGGTGCTTGGGGCATGACGGGCGTCATGGCCCCCGCTCCCCCCCTACGACGTAGCGCTCCCCCCCCCAGTGCGCTCCGGGCACTGCCGCCGTGCGCATTGGGATACGCGTAGGTGTCCGCGTAGGAATATCCGAATAGGAGTCTGGTCCGCAGCCGTCGTCGACGTCGTCGTCGTCGTCGCTCGTGGCTCGTCGCTCGTCGCTCATCGTTGTCGTGCGCGCGGAAGCGGCTGGAGCCTGTTTTTGATTCCCGGCCGATGACGGTAATTATCCGGGGGGTGGAGGGGGTCGATGACGTCACGTTTCGCGCCGGCGGCGTTTGGGAATGACCACCAGTATGTAGGTGGCGATCTGCACCACAACGCTTGTGTACACCACAGTGCCTGCGTGCACCGCAGCGCTTGTGTACACCACACCACTTATGTACACAGCAGCCGCGTGCAACACAACGTCAGTTTGTGCCACCGTGCCTGCTGGCACAACAGTTCTTGTGTACACCACAGCGCCTGCGTACACCACATCCGCCGTGTGCAACACAGCACCAGTGTACACCACAATGCCTGCGTGCATTGCAGTGCCTACGTGCACCACGGCGCCTGTGTGCACCACAGTAACCGTGTGCAACATAGCTACACTGTTATATATTTATATGTATAATGTTAGAAGGAATCCTTCTGACAAAATGGAGCGCTTGTGGATTCCGCAGAAAACAATATAAAGGAATCTTTATGGACAAAGGAGCGCCGCTGGAATCTACGAGTCCTCCCGAGTCCGCCCGCATCACCCTAACTCTTTCCCCTTGCGTCCATGAGCGCCCAGCGGCGGGCCGAGGCCAGCCGCACACGGCGGTCCCCCAGGGCCGCAGGCGACCCGAGGAGGAGGAGGAGGAGGAGGAGGAGGAGGAAGAGGAGGAGGAGGAGGAGGAGGACGAGGAGGAGGAATTTGCCTGTCATATCACAACAAGTGCAGCATCATGTCAACTCTGAATGGAAGGATTCTTAAAGCAACTACATATCAACACAAGTGAAATAGAATCGACATTATCTTGGTTTGGGGATCCTCCTTTGGTCTCGGACGGAGTATGCCCAACTATTCGGGCACGCCTGGTCCAGTTCGCCCTCAGCGTTTCGGCGTGTGGTTGGCCATCCTCTTCAGGACCTGCCACAACCAACCACACGGGGCAGGCCGACGCTGTCACGAACGACATCCCTGTTTCCTCTGGGATTCCTTCGTACACACCAAAGTCGCCAGAAGATGTCAAGCAAAGTTATTGGAACCTGCTGCTTTGGCCTTCAAAGAAGGGAGGGAACAACTGCCCCCTCTTTCGTGACACCGTCGGCACCTGGCGGACTGGCCGCAAGTGCCCCCTTTTTCCTTGAATGTCCGACCCCCCGCCCCCGTGACCAGAGCACTGACTGGAGCACAGGACGGCGGAGCCGATTTCGTATCCCGGTTCTCGGGCACCACAATCAGAGCGCACGTGCGAAGCCCCCTCTTTGGTAAAGCGACCACTGCAACTACTCTGGCTGATGGGAAAAATGCTACACCGCCGAAGACGAGCTCTTGGAGAGACTTTCGGCTGGTGACCAGTAATTTGCCTGTCATATCACAACAAGTGCAACATCATGTCAACTCTGAATGGAAGGATTCTTAAAGCAACTACATGTCAACACAAGTGAAATAGAATCGGCATTATCTTGGTCTTGGGATCCTCCTTTGGTCTCGGACGGAGTATGCCCAACTATTCGGGCACGCCTGGTCCAGTTCGCCCTCAGCATTTCGGCGTGTGGTTGGCCATCCTCTTCAGGACCTGCCACAACCAACCACACGGGGCAGGCCGACGCTGTCACGAACAACATCCCTGTTTCCTCTGGGATTCCTTCGTACACACCAAAGTTGCCAGAAGATGTCAAGCAAAGTTATTGGAACCTGCTGCTTTGGCCTTCAAAAAAGGGAGGAAACAACTGGAGGAGGAGGAGGAGGAGGGGGGGTCGCCTAAGCCCTTCGGAGAAACCCACCAATCCCGGAGATCCGATGGTCCTGATCCTTCCTATCCGGTCGGTTGTTGCAAGAAGTGCCCCTGGCCCAAGGTGCCCCCGAGGATTTCCAGGGGGTCCCCCAGGGCCTCCAGAGCAACCCTCACGAGGCCCAGAGGGCACCAGGGGCTCCAGGATTGAGCGCAAGAGGCTGGGGGCACCTTGGGCCAGGGGCACCTTCAGCAACCCCCGATGCGGGGCCCCAAACCATCTCCCCAGACTGGTCTCTCCTCGCGAGCCGCTTCCTGGACGGCCCCAGGGCCCGATGAGGGCCGCCAGGAGGCCGCAAACGGCCGTCTCCCCTGGACCAGAAAAACAAACTACGACACCACCCCACCTGTGGGGCCCACGGGGCTCAGCGTGTACTATAGGAAACCTGGCGTGGGCTTCTGCGCGGGGTGCGCTGCAGCCCCCGAGGGCCCGTGGCGCAGCAGGAAGGGCCGCAGAGTGGAGCGGTGTCGTCTGTTTTCTGGTCGAGCCCCGGACTGGCTTCTCTTGTGGATGCCAAGACAGTGGATACCCCGACACCCCGCCACGCTTGAAGCATGCCCCGGGCGTGCTCGACACATTTGTGCATTCCAGGGTCGAGCCATGCATCGAGCATGTCTGGGACGCCTGCACGTGATTCGGCCACACGCTCCCTCGCCACTGATTGGGATGCACAAAGACGTACTAGTACTATATGTCATCCTTGGACGCGCGCGTCCGACCCGAACATATAGTATACCCATCTTGTAGTATATCGTTTCCCGAGCGGTGTGGCCAGAATGCGCCCGCCACAACGCATATACTATAAGATTCCTCGGTGCGCGCGTCGCCCCTGGGAGGGCGACGCACATATAGTATAAGTATGTTGGGGTGTTGCCGACTGATCGTCGTCCACGGGGCCTCTCGTCGCGAGCCGCGTCCCTGACGGCCCCGGGGCCCGGCGCGGGCCGCCGGGAGGCCGCGCGCGGCCGGCGCGCGCTCCGCCGCGGGCCTCCCGCCTCCCGCGACGGGGGGGCCCACGGCCGACGGCGGCCCCCGGCGAGGCCTGGCACGCCCGGGGTGGATCGAAGGGGCCCTGAGACACACCAAAAATGCACACAAATCAAAGGATTCCGCCTATTTTCCCATATCTTCTGGGCGTTTGTCTTCCCCCCCACGTCCAACATTTTCCCATAGTTTCTCGGGAATCGACGATGAATTGTGTCTGTGTGCTTTTTCCCCTCCTGATGGATGCGGAGAGCAGCGGCACGGTGCCCGCCGCCGAGTCGCTCGGTGGCGGGCACCGTGCCACGGCTCTCAGGCACCGAGAGCGCACGGCGCCCAGAGCGCAAGGCGCGGAAGGCCCGCTCGACTTCTTCCCGCAAAATGTGCCCTGCGATTTCCATGCCTGTTTCATACTGGTGCTGTGTGCGCCCGACGAGTGGTTCGGATTGGCGGCGAGCGAGGGAGGGGGAGGTGAGGAGGAGGAGGAGGCCTTCCTAGAAGGCGGCGGGACTCCTCAGAGGCCCTCGCGCCTTCCGAGAGGTTTCTGTGTGTGTGTGTGTCTTCGGGGAAGGCTCCGAAAGCTTCTCAGAGGGCTGGGGAGCTCCCGAGACTGCTGAGAAGGCCCGCCCTTTCTCACTTCCGCCCCCTCGCTCGCCGCCAACCAGAGACGGCAGCGGCTGCTGTCCGACAGCGACCTGTCCTACGCCGACAGCGAATCCTGTGCAAAGTGGGCAGGAGCTGCTGCTGGCCTCCGTCCCCAGCTCTTCCTGGAAGGAGAGGGAGGAGGAGGAGGAGGAGGAGGAGGAGGAGGAGGAGGAGGAGGAGGAGGAGGAGGACAAGCTCGGTGCGCTCGCAAGAGGAGGAAGAGGAGGGTGAGGAGGAGGACGCTTGCGGGCCATGGCTCCTGCCTCCGGAGGCCGCTCGGGACGATCCCGGCTCCCCGGGAACGCCCTCGACGAGGCGCAGCAACTGGAGGGCATCCCGAGGATGCAGAGCCTGCAAGAACCATCGAGAGCCTCCGAACACCTCTGTTCCCAGAGATCCGATGTTTTGATACTTTCAAGACTGGGTCCCCAGAAATATCCACCCCTTCCCGGGGACCGGCCGTTCATGCTATCCTGAGACGTCCTTCTACAGTCCACGGGCCCGGCGAAGGCCTTGCGTCGAGCAAAGGTGTAGGCAAAATTGCACGTTGGCAATCAGAAGACAAATACGCGCAATGAGACTACCGACCAACCTCGTTACTGTCTGTTGGATACATCGGGGGCGGCCAAGAGGGGGGTGTCCAAGAGGGGGGGCGGTGCAAATCATGGCTGGCGCCATCTGCGCGGCACCAGGGGGGGCCAGGGAACGTATTGAAACAAGAAGAGGCGTCATGAGATTTGGGGAAATATCATGGCCCACGCCATGATATCCCCCCCCTAGTCATCACCCCCCTCCTTGCCGCCCCCGAATACCACAAAAATCTCCGTATGCTTTCTTAATGCCGTGGAGGTCTGGGTCATGCCCTCGGTCTTGGTCCCCGCTATCTTCCGCCTTAACGCCGAGAGCGCCGAGAGGGGCGGCGCGAGGGCAGCCTGCGTGGCCGACACGGGCGGGGGGGGACCCACACGGGCACCGAAAAAACGCGCAGGATGCTCAAATCTGTCCAAAACCTACAGCGGCCGCCGTAGATCGGGCAACTGTTTGCCTTCAGGGGACCACGTCCGCGGCAGCACAGACAGCCAACACCCTGGTCCAAATGGACCAGAATTGCACCCCGTCTTCGTCACCAGCCGGTCGGTCCCAGTGTCAATCGCACCGTCGTCGTCGTCGTCGTCGTCGTCGTCGTCGTCGTCGTCGTCGTCGTCGTCGTCGTCGTCGTCGTCGTCGTCGTCGTCGAAGTCGTCGACGTCGTCGTCGTCGCGGGCCGCTTCGTCTTGATGTCGCTCGCACCGAGAGTGGCGGGAGGGGCGGCCCGCGCGGCCAGGCAGGCGCCAGGGGGGGGGTGCGCGGCCGGCCTGATGGTCGGCGGCGCGGCAGCAGGCCATGCACCCGCGCGAGCCCGCGGCAGGTGGGCGGGGCCTGCGCGGCGGCCTTCCTCCTCCTCCTCCTCCTCCTCCTCCTCCTCCTCCTCCTCCTCCTCGTCCTCCTCCTCCTAATACTCCTCCTCTTCCTCCTCCTCCTCCTCCTCGTCCTCCTCCTCCTCCTCGTCCTCCTCCTCCTAATACTCCTCCTCCGCCTCCTCTTCTTATGTTTCTCATTGCTATCCTTAGTATTATTAGTTATCATATGTATACTGAGCATCGCTATGGTTATTGATATTAGTAGTAATGAATGTATTGTTCGTATTATCTCGACTGTTATTACTATTGCTATTAATACTCTTGTTCGTATTCTTACTAGCTGAAGTAAATGCCTGATTACTACTATTATGAATGATGTCATTGGTATTCGTGCTATTAATGTTGCTTCTATTAATACGATGACACTTCTTACTATGCAGTAACAGTAGTAGTCGTATGCAAAATCCTCCTCATCCTCATCCTCCCCTCCCTCCTCCCCTCCTCCTCCCCTCCTCCTCCTCCTCCTCCTCCTCCTCCTCCTCCTCCTCTTCCACCTCATCCTCATTAACATCCTCATCCTCATCCGCATCCTCATCCTCATCCTCATCCTCCTCTTCGTCCTCCTCCTCCTCCTCCTCTTCCTCCTCCTCCTCCACAATTACTCAATATGCATACTACTCTCCCTCTTCCCCTGGTGACGGTTTGAAAGTATTAACCCCCCCCCGCGTACTGTTTTTTTTTGCACACATGATTCCCCGGAATTGGGTTTTCGCCTGCATTTGTTTCCAAAATGCTGCTCTCGCTGAGGCGCTGGCCTCATTTTCGGGCCCCGCTCGTTCCGAATCGTGCTCCCGCTGCAGCGCTGGCCTCATTTCCGTGCTTCCGCTCGTTCCGAATCGTGCTCCCGCTGCAGCGCTGGCCTCATTTCCGCGCTTCCGCTCGTTCCGACTTGCGCTCCCGCTGCAGCGCTGGCGTCATTCCCCGTGCCATGCCACGGCATGCACTGCAATGCTAGGTTGATATTACGCTTTGCGGTGCTCTTCTACGCCATGCCATGCCGTGCTCTACAATGCATCGCGTACCCTTTTGGGATCATTGCCCTGCTCGCCATCCGACTGTGCGAGTAGAGGGGGGATCTACGCCATGGTAAGGTATGGGAGGGAGGGGTAGGATGTCAGATATGACGCGAGCGCATCTAGCTTGTCCTCCACCCCCTCCTCCTCCTCCTCCTCCTCCTCCTCTTCCTCCTCCTCCTCTTCCTCCTCTTCCTCCTCCTCTTCCTCCTCCTCCTCTCCTCCTCCATTCCTGTTCTTGTACATAACTTCTCCCTGCCTGAGACGCCCTCACCACTCATGACCCCGAAGCTTGAAACATTGGAAACAGTTTCACAAACGGAGGGCGGGTCGTTTTCAAAATGTGGCTCTCGCCCTAGCACCGCGCACATTCTTTTTTTAAACTGCACGGGCTTCACTGATTGAAAGCGGGTCGTTTCAAAATGTGTTTCTCGCCTTAGCGCCGCGCACATTTTCTTTAAACACTTGCAAGAGCTTCACGGATTGAGGGCGGTTCTTTTTCAATGTGTGGCTCTCGCCTTAGCGCCACGCACATTCGTTTTTCAACTTTGCAAGAGTTTCACGGAATCCCACAATCCACGTACCAAAAAATGGTGTTGGAAAGGTTCACGATATCTTCCTCCGCCTCCTCCTTCTCCTCGCTCATCGCTCATCGCTCCTCGCTCCTCGCTCCTCGCGCCTCGCTCCTCGCTCCTCCCCCTTCTCTTCCTCCTCCTCCTCCGCCTCCATTCCTTCTCCTTGTAAACAACTTCTCCCTGTCGCACCCAGAGGTTATGGCGGGATGGGCGTTTCGCCTGAGACACGCACTTCCCTTCCTGCAATCCCACCCTGCCACCCTTGAGGAGATAGGCGGGCACTTTTCTTGTACATCAGTGCGCCACGTCCTGCGTGCTTGGCAAGTCCGTTGTGCCTGAGTGAAACGATTGCACCGCGCAGGACGATGGGGGCCCGTGGGGCCCAACCGCCGGCCTCGTGGAGGCGAAGGGGGAAGCCCCGCAGACGAATCCAGCCCGTGGGGCGTGACCATCAACCTCGTGGAGGCGCGAAGGGGGAACCCGGGAGGCGGGCCCAGCCCGTGGGGCGTGGACCGCCAGCCTCGTGGAGGCGAAGGTGCAACCCAGGAGGCGGCCCCGGCCCGTGGGGCGTGGGCCGCCAGCCTCGTGGAGGCGAAGGGAAGACCAAGGTGGTCCCGGCCCGTGGGGCGTGGACCACCAGCCTCGTGGAGGCGAAGGTGCAACCCGAGAGGCGGCCCCGGCCCTTGGGGCGTTGGCCGCCAGCCTCGTGGAGGCGATGGGAAGACCCGAAGATGATCCCGGCCCGTGGGGCGTGAACCATCAGCCTCATGGGGGCGAGTAGCAGGAGCGCGCCAGCGGCGGCGGCCCTCAGCCTTCAGGCGACGCAATCTCCACCACCACTCCCATTGCGGGAGGGCGGGCGGGAAAAAGCAAAGAGCATCGAGTTCGATCCGCGTGGCTGCATCGAACAACAATCTGGCATAGGAACGCAGGGAGCAGGATACAAGAATATATGATGGGGCAAGGTGGATACACAATGAGACAAGCCACCCACCAACCATGCATTAGGAGCGCAATTGTCCTCAATTGACCTGTCAATAACGGACACGCACTTCCCTTCCTGCAATCCCACCCTGCCACCCTTGAGGAGATAGGCGGGCACTTTTCTTGTACATCAGTGCGCCACGTCCTGCGTGCTCGGCAAGTCCGTTGTGCCTGAGTGAAACGACTGCACCGCGCAGGACGATGGGGGCCCGTGGGGCCCAACCGCCGGCCTCGTGGAGGCGAAGGGGGAAGCCCCGCAGATGAATCCAGCCCGTGGGGCGCGACCATCAACCTCGTGGAGGCGCGAAGGGGGAACCCGGGAGGCGGGCCCAGCCCGTGGGGCGTGGACCGCCAGCCTCGTGGAGGCGAAGGTGCAACCCAGGAGGCGGCCCCGGCCCGTGGGGCGTGGGCCGCCAGCCTCGTGGAGGCGAAGGGAAGACCAAGGTGGTCCCGGCCCGCGGGGCGTGGACCACCAGCCTCGTGGAGGCGAAGGTGCAACCCGAGAGGCGGCCCCGGCCCTTGGGGCGTTGGCCGCCAGCCTCGTGGAGGCGATGGGAAGACCCGAAGATGATCCCGGCCCGTGGGGCGTGAACCATCAGCCTCATGGAGGCGAGTAGCAGGAGCGCGCCAGCGGCGGCGGCCCTCAGTCTTCAGGCGACGCAATCTCCACCACCTGGCGAAGCCGCGGCGAGTGAAAGAGCAAATTGATAGGGCGACGGGCATTTTCGACAGAGGTTGGCTCCGTCGGGCGCGGGCGCTTCGCTGAGGAAGGTCGAAAGGCTCGCGGACGAACCGAAACGCCAGCCGCAGCAGGTGCGCCACGACGGCAACGGCATGTCCGGCGGGCTCGCGACGGCGTGGATGGTGCCGGAGGACTCTGACCGGACCCATCGGGACCAACCTGCCGGAGGCGCGGAGATCTTGACCTCCGGCTGCCGCGAGGTCGGTAGACCCCGTGCCTCTGCATGCGATTGCATTGAGGCCTCCAGGTTGGCGACGCGCCGTGCAAGTGGCTCGAGCTGTGTCTCTGGAGGCGGCTCTGAAGAAGAGCTCGCGGCGCGGCCCTGGCCGTCGAGCGGCAACTCAGTCAGCGCCTCTTCAACGTATTCCAACACCGCGCAGGAAGCCCAGCGTCCGACCGTCTGGATGCTTGAGAGCGGCCATAGGGATCGCGCGTAACGTTTGGCGCCAGACCGTCTCGCAGAATGGCCTCCTAGCACAGGGTGCCCGTCGACCGCGAGGCGTTGCCAACCCTGGATGACGGCGGCCTTGGACACCGTGCCGCCGGCGACGTCTGGGAAAAGCGGCTCTTCCAGCTCGCGCGCGTCCTGGGCGCGAGTGCCAGTGACGCGACGTCGCGCCTCAAGGTGCTCCACCAAAATGTGCACGGGGCACGAAACCTTGTCGAAGGGGCCCAGCAAACAAGTGCATTTCAGTGTGACAGCCGCGCCAGCCCCCCAGGTGTCGGTCTTCGACACGGGAAGGCGCATTCGCACGCTCCCGGCCGAGGGAAAGTCGACGTGCGCAAGCCTTGCTGCCGCCAGTTCGATCTCCCTGAGCAGGAAGCGCGTGGCTACCACCCAGGCGCGCCACGGCGAGGCCAAGTCATGACCAGAAATGCCTTGCAACGACTCCAAGACATCAGTCGGCCGAAGCCCGTCTTCCCGCAACTCAGCGGCCTTGGACTTCGGGCGAATGCCTCGTCGGACTGACCGCTTGCACTGGTCGAATGCCCGAGCGAGCTGCTGCGATACAGGTGCGCCGCGTTCGATGTGCTCGAGCCGCAGCTCGTGGAGGTATTGTTCCGCAGACTTGAACCGAGCTCCCTTGAGAGCCGCAGCAACCGCATGCACGACGGCGACCTCCAGAGGGAAAGGCGCAGATACGTCCGGAATGGACGACGCCGCCTGCTCGGCCACTCTGCACACGTCAGCCCGCTTGCGGGAGACTGCCTCGCGGGAAGAATTCGCATAGAAATCTTGTCTGAGAGCACCCAGAGCACTCGCGAGGCGCACCGGGTCGCCCGCTATGGACAAAGCTGCGTTGATGGAGCCCCTGGTGTGACCAGCATCTGGAAGTGGAGGCCTAGGGAAGTCACGTCTTTGAAGATCGACGCCACTAGCTCCAATGTCAACGTTGCCCTCCTGGCTGGGGTGCTGCACCAACTGACCGGCACCTTGGGAAAGGATGCAGTGTGGTGATCTCCCGCGCGGCTGCGCCAGCGGCACGAATCTCGGCAGTGAGCCGCTCGCGGACGCGCCCGGAGCCAGACATGGGATCACAGGAGCGTGGGTGACCACACTCGTGGCTGGCACGCCCGCCCGCACATTGCTCCACCGTGCCGGAATCGGCGCGGGCGGCGTGCCCGAGCGTGAGGCGTACCGAGG